CATATATTTATTTTAAAAATAGTAAATGATAGTGATTAATGTTGTTAATTTTTACTTCCAGCCCCTCATGTGAATTACGTCTCACCCTTGTTCATTCTTATGATGCTGTTGGAGTTCTTCATAACACTATTCTTCGCCCATCCATGCCTTTATCACACCTTAGAGCACTTTTCTGTGAACAGGTTAGTTGTATATGACTGACTTTGTATTAGAAACTAAAAAAAAAATAAGATGTAAATTCTTACATGGTTAATTATCTAATCAATCCAGATCAACGTGCTAGCTCTGCAGAAAGTTTCAATGTGGTATGCCAACACCTTGCGCTCCATCTACTGGGTAGATTCGTTGCAATCAGCAGGAACCAACACACTCCTTGACTTGGAAGAAGGGCCATTTACAAATCCAGATCAGATCATTCCAAATCCTCTTATTATGTGTGCTTGGCGCTGTATCAAACTTGAAGAAATAGTTTTGCTGGGTAGGATGACATGGTTTTGAGTTATTTTTGTCTGTATTGTGTTATAACTAACTCACTCACTGAATAAATTTGTTTTCAGGCTACAAGCTGTGGGAAACTGAAGTGCTTGCAATATTTAGGCTCCGGCCAAGTCTTCATCACTTTGATGTTTGGGATGGTGATATTTTGCTGGATGAGTCAGAGAGCTTGGAGAGTTTTCAGCAGGTAAAGTATATGTACTTACCACATCTGTTGTCTGGGAGTATCTGCATAATTGCCATTCAAAACAAAATTCTTCTTTTGCAGGGCTTGAGCAATGAAATAGGAACCAGTTGGGAGCCAATGAATGATGGTAATCTAAATGAGGTTATTTTGAACCCTCACAATGGAGATTCTGATGAGTATGTTCTCCCAGTTGTTATCAATGATCTTATGGCCTAGTGTCAGGAAGAGTAGCAAGTTGTCTGATGTTTCATGATCATTGTTTGAGATTGAGGTTTTTTGTGATCATGCTATATGTTTTTTTAGAAGACCATTTAGGAGAAAGGAAGTTTTCTGTATTTTCAAATTTTGAACATTCCTTAAAATTTTATTGTGTGTTTAAGGGGCAGACTATCTTAGGTTACTAAAATTACCTCTAAAGTTTATTTTTAGAAAAATCGCTTGCCTCTTTTGTTCCATATTTGCAGCAACTATTTTAAATCTGGTCCCTTACAATTTCTATGTGTTTTAAATTCTATGTGATTGAAGTGGTGACAGTAATTTCCTTTCTCCCAAATCATCAGTCAATTGTACAAAGTCATCTTTAGAGAATTGTGATCAGTTACTCAAATGAAACATTGTTCTTTGAGAGTGGTGAAAAGGGCTGTGTGTGTACAAGAGTAATAGAGAAGTACTGTACCAAGTTTTAAGCTTTCAAGAAAGCCTTAGTGGAAGTAAGACCTGTGATCTTGTTAGAACTAAATGGAAGATACAAGTTTGAGTGAACCTCAGTCTGTTTGAGGAAAGTTATCCTAATTGAATTGTTAATGGTTTATAACCATCTGTAACATTTATGAATTTATAAGTTCTGAATGATCTGCCTCTGTTGAGGAATATGCAAATTATGGAAGGAAATTTTATTATATTTTGTTATTGAATTTATAGGTATTATTTTTCCGAAAAAAAGGTTATTTGGCTTATCATCTTGGTCAAATTTTTTCGGTGTTTTGATTTTTGTCATCAGCTTGAACAAATCGAATGCATTAGTGAACTGCTGATGACACAAGGTGTACTTCCATCCATGATGCCATAAAGTAGTGCTTGAAATGACAATTATTTTCTATCTGAAAAATGCATTGATAGATGTTGAGCTGCTAGTTATATAATATAAAGACTATCACATGAGGAATATTCAGAGAAAGATGCCTCACCTTGTTATCTTTTTTTGTTTTTTTCATCTCAGTCTATTCAAATATTTGTGCCAAACATGGCAAGTATTATGTTTATTTTTTTTTCTTCTAGATTTGTTAGTGTGTTGAAACTTCTGTGAATACCTGAAGTTTTGTTATTCATGATAATCAAATGAAAGTTTTATCCAGAACTCTACTGGAGAGGGCAGAAATTTTGAAGCATATACCAAAGACATTGCAAACATCCTTTTATTGGTACTTGCGCGGAATTTTCATTATCAGGCACCAGACATTATTTCATTTGCTGTCACCAGGCTGGCACGGACAACATATGTTATTAACATTTTGCACTCGTATCGATGCATTCAGTTTTGCATTTTAACAGCAGGTATTTTAATATCACGGTTGTCTTATTTCATCATTTCTTTTATATCATTGATTCTTGCATTTCTGTCCC